GTCTGTAGTAACTGGCACGCCTGCGCTCGGTATAAGTGAGTGACATGCAATGACAAATAACGGGACTGTGTAACGTATTAGAAAACAGGAATATGCTGGGATTCTCATTCTCAGCAAAAGATTACAGGGCGAACAGAGGTGTTCTGCTGGCTTGGGTGCGGAGTAGCGCGCCAAAATGGAGAATCCACGGCCCCCCCTCCCCCAAAATCCCATCCTTCGGCAAACAAGAGGCCATCGTGAGAAGAACAGGTTCGTCGCGACTGGCCGACGCGATGTGACGTGGACTTGGACCGCCAAGATGCGGGGATGGGGGAGGGGACGTGCTGCGACAGGCAAATGAGCTGCCGTCTGGTATAATGCAGTGAGTGCATTGCTACCACCATACTACTAATATTTTCTCATGCTCATAAATGAAGTTGCATGTGCATTCAATGTAATTCAATGCTAATGCTCGTGCGTGCAGTGTAGGATCGAGAAACGCTGTGCTGTGCTGCTATTATTAAACCAGACAGACGCCAATGCCACCCGCGCCCTTCCCTTTCTCTTACACTCAGCGCCCGCATCTTCTCCTCCATCCCTTGTCCCTCTTACCAGGATCCCCCCGATTTCCCTTGTTCGCGAAACTCGCCAGCCAGCGGAAATAGCCGTCGTGGGAGGCTCCGTAATGGGATCTAAAAGGCGGTAGCGGACGATCCCCCAGTCCGTTCCCCCCTCTTCCCGTCTCTGCCCTCAGCTCAGCTGCTTCCGGGTTTCCCCCTTTTATCATCACATGGGATGCGTGTACGAAGCGTCTGTGTAATCATGAACCCGACAAAACAAAAGATGACAGAAACGCGTGCGGCAGAGGAGAATACGAAGCCCAGCCGCCTGTACGGGGCCAACATTTGATTTGTTCCCTCTTGGCAGTTACTCATACTATTTGATGATTGCATACATGTACATTACATTACATTACATGCACATGTGCCCATGCCTTGTCCTTTTTTTCCCCTCGAATCCTCGCCAGCGTCCAAGAGCGGTATCAATCCGCTTCGCCTATGCTGCATCGTTTCTCTCCATTTCATCCTATCCCGCCCAAGTTTGCTTCCTTCAGCTGGTTGCTACCCAGCCAATAGAATCGTTGCAGCCTTCAACCAATAGAAGCAATCATGTCCGTCTTCCGGCCTCCCCCAGGCACGGATTTACTCCCTGCAGTTTGGCAAGTTTGATTTGCCGCGCACAGCGCAGCGAAAATACATGCCCTACATTGCCCATACCTGCTATACCTCTGTAGTGCCTACAATCCCATGGCTCTCACTGGCCGCTAAATCCAGAAAAGCAAATGTCGATTCGTCCAATCTGGATGCTTTCTCCATATGGAACAGTCCCATACGCAGCTTTTTTCAGCGCATTTGCCCTGCGTCTAGACTCGAGAAGGGGAGTGCTACTCTGCTGTACAGAGGTCATGTGAACCATGACCCCGAATCCTCCTCCTTGGCCTCGCTTTTTTCTCCAACCCGCGCGGATCGGCTACGGCTCGGAAGTGAAAGCTGTGAATGAGACAGCGGCAGGTAGAGTAGAGTGCTCCCTCGGAGATGCAGCTGCACAAGTCCCCCAGAGTGCGTTCCCCCTCACCTCACTGATGCCGCAATGACAGGCGGTTTATTGCATGAAGTTAACGATGCCCGGCCTTGGTTCGACTGACCCTGGGTACAGGTATGGAAGGATGGGACTCTTTGGGAACTGGTTTGGAGAAACATCTGATTGCCCCAAGATCAGACAATGGGCGGTCGGATATCCGAAAATCTCCCTCCGCTGTACCTAGTTTCAGGAACAGCCGCCCTCGCATATTCCTCCTCAAGCGAGACAGAGACAGAGAGAGCGCGCGCGTCAACATCCCAGCATCTAGCCGAGTTCCCTTACTCGTGCGCGCGGACCTGCTCAACTGGGCCATGTATCCCAGTACGACCACGGAGCTACCCCGAAAGAGGCGCGTCTCTGCGGCACCCGTAGGTACCTACTCGTCACGCCCTCCTTGTGTGCATGCTATCATTTCTCCCGTGTTGACGATATGACTTCTTTTGCTCTCATTGTTCCTCGCATAAAACGAACTAGTACACAGTACACTTCGCGAGGGAGGGGGCCCATTGTCGAGCCAGCTGACTCTCCGGCCCCCCTAGGGAACTTGTGCTTTGGTTACCGTAAGGAACGGGCTGCAGAATGCGGCGTCTGTGTCGTGAGATAGGGACTACGGAGTAGGTATACTGTATTTTGTTACAGGTTAAATACCTCTTTGCAACAGACATGGTACGATGGGAAGAACTGCCGTGTGGACAAACACTATTGAAACGGCTAAGACGGAATGTCTGATCCGCGGCAACTCTGGGCGGTTCGTGCGGCCTGATCGGGCGGGCGGCTTGGAGGTCTGTTCACGTTCCAGGTTGTAAGTCGTGAGAATCCATTCAGCCTTACTCACTCCATGCAGCAGTTCACCGCCATGACCAAAGCTCCAAGGGCGGGAAGAAGGAGGAAAAGCAATTGGGGAATCGCCCACAACTTGACCCATCTGTTTACAACACAATGCTTGGAGGAAATATAAAAGATGAATTGTAAATCGTGTTGAAAGCCTTCAATATTGCCATCCCCTTCCCCAAAACGCGGTCCCTACAAACGCGATCTACGTCTTCTACACAGACCAACTCGCTCTGCTCAGGAACCGCCAATCTTCTTCCCGCTAGCCCCAGGCACAGTCGCCTTTAGCCCCCTTGGATTTTCTAAACGTGCCCCAGCGTGTCTTGAACAACGCTCCTCCAACACCATCAAGCAAATCCTTTTTTAAAAAAAAATCATCGACTGCTGATGAACCCCGTGCAGCTCAAAGCCATTTTGCAATTCAACCATCCCAAAACGTATTTCTTATCGGAAGGGGTAGGCCGCTGTAGACACGTGGGCGTGAGAATTGGACGAAAAAAAAAAAAGGCCGCGCCTCCGATGTTCCCATTCTCGGCGTCGGCGACGATAGCCCAGCTGCGCCTTCAGAGATACCACACACACTCGCATCTAAACATGCTTCTTTGTTTTTGCGTTATTCCCGTTGATAATTCCCGATAACAAAAATTAAGCAATTTGGGTTCACTATTCAGAAACTGGCAGCTTACCTTTCTGCTCGGTAGGGTACCATTGTTGATAGGTACTCAAGCTCAAATCAGCCAGCCTCGTCTCACCACGACGCCCCCCTCTCTTTGCTCTCACGATGGGGGCTCACGATTTCCCTCTACTCGCTTGGACATTGCCCTGCATTGCCTATACTTTTCCGTGCATGTTATACTCCACACACCCTCTCCATCCCAAGCACAAAAACAGAGCATCCACGTAGTCTCGCATCTGCATCGCATCTGCATCTGCATCTGCATACAAAAATCGAAAGGAAAAAAAACAAAACCCTGCATCCTACGAATAACATGCTCGTACATCCCCTGCCCAAGCCGGTAAAAACGCCAAGAAAGAAGAAGAAGAAAAAAAAGTCCTACGCGCGTGTAGATACGAGAGTACATGTAGGCCTCAACATCAAGTCACACCGCAGAATCTCTCTCTCTCTCTCTTTCTCGCCTACCATGTCCCGTCCCAGTCCTACACCAAGAAAAAAAAAAAAAAGAGACGTGTAGCAATCAACGTTCCAAGCCCCCTCTCCTCACATGCTTTGCTTGCTGCACGTCGCTCATTCAACGAGTCTAATCCTAGCAATGAAAAAGAAACCAGTCAAAAATACACTACCCCAATAACAAAATTACTAAAAAGAAAAAGAAGCGAAGAAAAAAAGTGACAGAGCCAAAATTGCCAAGACCTATCAAAGACAAAGGGTCCATCGAGACTCGTCTCCCATGCTCGGTACCTACTCGTAGAGTAAAAGCCGCGGCTTCTCACATCCAGACCCACGCCAGCGAAACCTTGTGCACATCATGCACCGTACACATTTCACAGCTTATTTGCGCAAAAGAAACAGCACGAGTATAAAAAATCAAGAAGAAGCGATGGAGCACTGTTTGTTTGTAGTCATGATGTTAAAAAATCTTGCATTCTAATAAAACTATAAAAAAGCACGGGCATCGTTGGCCCAGGTGGTATCACTATACTAGCCAAAGAAAAAAAAAAGGATCCCGCATCGTCTATTCGCAAAGTCCAAGAACACAAGAAAAAATGATCCAAAAAAAAGTGATACTAGGTAATGCAACAACCTTGCGACCATGCGCAAGTATAGAAGTGAAGAAGGAAAATGAATAAAAGAAGAAGAAAAAGGAAAAATATCCGTTATCCCGTTCCCAAATTTGATCCGTCGTATATGCAACCTCCCGACGCTCAGCGCCAATGCAGAAATAAGACGATGGTAATAAAGACGTCAGTGGCTGTGCCAGAAGCCCCCAAGGAAGCCAAGGGAGAAGCAAGAAAAAAAAGAGAAGAAAAAGAGGCCACGATGCCGTGCCAAGGAAATACCAAAAGGGCGATAAAACCAAGGCGAGCTAGTCTCTCGACGGGCCCATCGTGAACCCACTTTCTTCTCAAGGCGAGTCTTTTTTTTTCTGTGTCGCTGCTCGGCATGCCAATGTTTTTTTTTCCTTTGCAAAAGGCCAAGGCTAGAAGCTAAGGCAGAGACCCCTGTCGCGCAGATGAACCGGTCGCACACAGCGCTTCTGGGCCAAGCCATTCGTCGCCTGCGGTTCGGCGCCGCCTAGCGGTATCCGTCTTTGTCTTGCGGCCCCAATAAAAAAGAAAGAAAAAATCGGCAGTGAATGGGTGAATGAAGCGAGTATCCATCTGGTAGGGGATTGCGAAGGAGGGCGACCAAGTAGAAGTCAAGGGGGAATAAAGGTAAATAAAATCAACAAGGTAAGCATCAAATGTAGGTAAATTTCATCGCCGTGGTCGTCATTCATAAGGCTTGTTCGCAAAGGTGGAGAAGGCAAAAAAGAGAGTCGAGGTTCCCAGTTCCCCAGAAAGGGTCGGCCGAAGCGACCTGTCACAAAATGACGAGGCGCTGTCGAATCATCGTCGCACCGACGACATGTGCCGAAATGCCGCAGCCTCCAATTGGAGGCCCTGCCTGCGGGCGAGGTCGCGAGCGCGCTGCGTCTGGACATGGAGGTGCAAGCGACAAGGCAGGCCAAAAGGGCCCTGCGCCTTGTGCATGGCCTGCGCCCAGGGACGCCTCGGGTAGCACCGCATGTGCTCGTCTCGAGCTGGAAAGACGCACGCGGCTCGAAGCAGAAGAAGCGAGGGTGCAAGGCTCGGTCTTTGTGCTCGACGCCAACGGCTGGAGCTCGGAAATGGCATGGCATTGCAGACATTGGAGACGAGACGAGAGAGGGCTCATCATTGCACATCTCACACATCATCCCATGTGGCCAGCGGCTGCTGCGGTCCCGGGAATCGCGAATCAAGCTATGCCGCATAGAGTGCTGACCGTTGAGCCGACACGCTGGGTGACGAATCGAATCCCATCATTTTCTGGGGTTCGGCAAGACATGGGGATGGGGATAAAGATAGCGACCCTCAACGGCCCAGCGCCCGCTTTGGTCGTCGATCCAGGAGAGCCAGATGCCAGGTTAAAGTGCCTGCGGACATCTGACCTAAGCAGTGCCAGTGAGAGCTCGACTTTGTGTCTTTTTCGACAGGTGATGGAAATGTTTTCGACCTGTCAAGTAGAGCGTGTGTAGATGGGTGGAGCGACGGATGCTGCTGATGACGGATTGATTCCATGCGGGTTGGGTCGGTGTCGACACTGCGAGAGTGCAAAGAGTCTTCCGTGTCGTTTCTATGGTCCATTTGAGGACATGCCGTCTATGATATGCCGTAATGCTCGCTTATTCCGGGAAAAAAAAGATGAAGAGTCATATAAAATACAACAGCGCAGTTGATAAGGCTGCGTTGTGGTGTGTCAGAAAGACGGGTGCTGGGGGATATCTCCTTTACTTGTATCCCACGAGCTTGGCGCAACGCTCGCAGTAGTAGAGGTTGTGTGAGATGCGCACCATGCCGGCTGTGCTCGCGTCGTCCGTCGTCGTCGTCTCGGCGGATCGAGCGCACCGCATGCAGCGCAGCACCAGCACCGAGGCAATGGGCCGAGGGTTGGAGTCCATCCTGGATGAAGACGAGGGGACGTCGGAGTCGGAAGACGAGGCGGAGGAAAAGTTGTGGCTGGCGATCAATGCGGCAGCGGGCATCTTTTGGCCGTGTGAGTATTTTGGTTTGGTTGTTTTCAGTTGTCGAGATATTTTCAGACAAGAGCTGAGAGCGTCGATGTTTAGAAAGAGCAGGCAAGCCGTTGGGTTTTATCTTGCGTTTGTGATTCCGAATCGGCGGGGTGGCTTGAATCGCCGCTTTGCAGGGTGCCGTGACTGGGTGCAAAGGGTAAGCTGATGGGTGAACCAGCGGGCTAAATGTGTATGCACGGACGGGACAGGCAATGGTGCACGAGGATGCTGTTTGTTATATTCTTCTCGGATGCTTTATTCCAGAATGAAAAATAAAGAATGAGAAATGAGTACGAGCAGTCAGAGCGAGTTTGGATGCAAGCGGTTCTAGTCGTCGAGAGCGGAGGGATGGGCCTTGTTTTAAGAAGTAGCAAAAGGAGGTGGGTTTATCCTACTGGAGGGTGTGGTTGACGAACGTAGGGCCAAGATGGATGGAGCCGGGGGGGTGTGTGGGAAAAAAAAAGGTACTTGGGTCGAAAAGCAAAAAAGAAAGGGTCTCCAGCAAGGCAACAAGAACAAGGAGGATCCACGACAGGGAGGGCGATCGACGATATGTCGGAGTTGCAAGTGACAAGGAATCTCGGGCATGGAGAGCGGCGCAAGTCACAGGCGGCCGGTGCGGGTTCTGCGGGCGTGTGGATTCGGCATGTGTCCAGCGACCGTTTCACCTTCTTGGGCCCAACTCACCCTTTTGCGTCGTAAATGAGCGTCAATGTGACTTTCTGTTGCGAGCCGTGGCTGCATAGGCGACTGCTGCGGTCTCAATACGTTGCGATGTCGTCCGATGTGCTGTGCTGTGCTGTGCTGTGCTGTGCTGTGCAGTGGAATGAAATGACATGGGCGGTTGGGTTGTTGTGTTGTTGTTGTTGTTGTTGTGTGCCCGTATCATTTGATGTCCTACACAGCAGGCAGGCATCCAACGTTTTTTTTTCTTCTTTTTTTTCTTTTTCTTCTTACCCTTTCCCTTCTGCTCGCCCGATCGCCGTTCCCAACCAAGCAGGGCAACGCAACAAGCATCCAATCCGTTACGAGCGCTGGGACGGTTACGAGTACACACAATACGGTATGAAGATAAGGAGGCTGAATACGGGATAACTGCACACTAGAGAGGGCTTAGCAGGCCAGGCCAGGGAGGGCGTGCAGCTGCAGCTGCAGCACAGCCAGCAAGCAGGGCAGGGGTGTGCATTTCGTTATAGGCATACGAGCATACACAATGCATATGCAGGATACGAGTTGCTTTTCCCGTCTGGCTGCTGGCTGCTGCTTGCGACGCCAGTCTTCAGGGCGCTGCTAAAAGCTCCAAAGCCACTTTTTCTGCGAGGGGCGTGCGTGGGCGCTGGAACCCGGCCTGTCTGGCATTTCAAGCGCTGGTCCACTATGAAGTTTTTTTCTTCTTGTCTTGTCTTCCTTTGCCCGGGTAATTTACACGTATGAGTAAGGACCAGGGGAACCATCCGATATCTGGATGCCCAAAGGTGCACGTTTTTTTTTCAATGTTTGTGGATACGCGACTGTCATCGTCTTTTTTTTTTTTTTTCTTTTTTTCTTCTCTGTTGGTGGACCTGACAGGGGACGCAAAAAGGCGTGGAACAAACCTGGAGGGCCAAAGGAACTGAACCTTGACCACAGCTTGACTGGCACCATTCTTCGCCTCATTCGCTAAGCCCAAAGCTAGGAAAGCTGTCAGCCGAGTGTGCCGTCGTTGGCCAGACAAAAGGCGGCAGGATTCTGGAGGAACAAGGCCAAGGCGTGCAACCCCGAGGGCCGGCCAAGACTCCGACGGACGAGCTTACTGTACTGGCAAAAGATGCATACAAAGTCGTGTGTGTCTTGGTATTCTGGCTGTTTTGGGGAAGCTTTGTCCTCGGTTAAGCTTCTGTCTCGCAACGCCGCCAGCCTTTGAGCCGCCCGGTCCGAGACCTGTCCGTCTGGGCTGCAATAAGCTGCGTCGTCCTGGAGGCTGTACATTCAAGTCAGGTGTGTGCGTGCGTGTGCGTGGACGGCTGCGAATACTACAGGCTCCAACATGTCCCGTCTGTTGATGCCAAAATAAGAACACGGAAAACAAAACACGCAGCATGCGAGATGTGACGGTGGCCAGACCAACCAGGAATGCCAAGTGTCATGCAGAACCGCTCCGTGCTTGTGCTTGCGTGCTGTAATTAGACGGACCAGTCGTGCATTTCACTCACGATGCGATGCGGGAAACCGACTCAAATTGAAACGCTCCAACATGCGAAGATGACATGCCGGTGAAGCTCGCCCATCCCTGTGGCTACAACGCAAAGCAAGCTAGGGACATGCTAGAGCAAGCCTAAAAGCATGAAAACGAGAGAGAGAGAGAGAGTGCAAAAATACGGTGAATGAATTGAGGTGATTCATCCAACATGCTCCGTGCTCAAGCTGAAGCTGCCCAACTCCACGGGCCAAACAAGCATTCAATCAATCCCATTTGCGGTCTCGAATGTTGAGACGCCGCGAAACGCCACCATGGTGGGATAGTGCCGCGTAGTCAAAACTGTAATGGAGAAGATTAATGCCCAAAAGCCACGCGTTTCTACTATACGCAAGACTCAAGAGAAAAGGGCCTCGGCCAACGGAAGACGGTGACCGGCAGACTCCGCCAGAGAACAAGACACCAGAGACATAGCATGATCCAGAGGTGCTCGGACGGTTTGAGGTGGATTTGTCCATGGAATTTAGTAGCAGGACCCGTCCACAGGGAGGCTGACGCGCAGCGGTTCTCAGAATCTCGGGTCGCACGACCGTCCGATGGGCCGGAGTTTGGTTCTCAGCAGATTCCATCGCCAATCATCACGATCACGGTGTTGCCACTCCCAACTTTGTTGACAGACCCTTGCAAACATTGGGCACGTATGTACGAAGTATTCCTCATCCGCAAAAATCCACATCCCACATCGGCTATCGGAAAACCCACGTGAGAAGAGATTTTGTGCATATGTCCAACGGGCAAAGGGGGACAGTGTGGAAAAAAAAAAAAAAAAAAGTTCCAGAAGGTCAGAGATAAATGAAAGGGCCTGATGGAATGGATATCCTCATCAAGATGAGGCAGCGAATCGGTGGCTTCGGGCTCCGTTTTGTGGTTCCCAGCTGAAAGAGGTGCGCTGTTTCGAGCAATTCCTCGAAATCTGGGCAAATGGGAAAATTGGAACTCCAAAGCCCGCGTGTTTCAGATTTCCGCGATGGCGCTAGGCTTGGAACTGTCATCCATTGCTCCATTCTGCCTTGTTGTGAATAATATCGGTGTACGGGGGCTGGAGTCATCCATGGATACCAAAAGCTCGGATTGTTGCATGCCTGGAGCATTGGAACATTGGAACTTGTATTTTCTTAGGTGCCCAGGTGGGTTTTTTTTTCTTAGTGGCATGCCAACTCGCTGTGCGACAACAGGTTACAGCGTGTCTCAGTTGCACTGACACAAACAGAATTTGATGCGGTGCCTAATACGGAGAAGACAAGCAGACAGACGGGTGACTCACCTCCGACAAAAACATCTTGACACATCCCCGCAAGGCGTCTGAATCATCGAAGCCGCGCTGACTGGCTGGAATCATCCTCATCCCATGCTTGCGTTCTGGTGCAGGCTGGCTTACGCACATATGACCGCCGACTGTGCTGTCTTGACGGTGTTGTAACTTGTACAGTAGGTACTCGCACGTCGTATTGGCACCAAGCAAAGACCATGGACAGCGTCCGAGACAAGACACTGCTAGTACCTCTTCGGAAACTCCCCTGGATCAGCAGCAGGCAAACAAGGCAAAGCAGGGAAACGAGCGAAACGGTGAGTGAGCCAATGCAAGGAATGAACCACGATGGCCCAGTCGCCCAATCCGCTTGCCCGTCGACGATGCAGGAAGCGGTCGCCTCCACGTCACCATGATTGCGTCCTCGGTTGTGGTTGTTTCTGCCACAGTACCTGCAGACAGACACGGGGGGGTCCATCAGCGAGCCCATCGGTTCCTTTGACGGGCCTCCTCCTCCTCCTCCTCCTCCTCCTCCTCCCCTTCGTCTTCGTCTGTTTAGCCAGCCAGTGAAAAAAAAAAAAGGGAGAAACTTTCAATGTCTCTCGCGAGAACTCGACAGTCAGCATTCGTTCTTCCTGCTCGCCCTCCTCTCGCAGTTAGCGCCATCGGCCGCTCCTTGATTGCCCTGCAAATCTCCGATCCCCATCCCCTTGGCAGAGGTTCCCAGTTTCCAGCCCAAAGCCTGTTTTTTGTCCTTGCTCGCAGCAGGATGAGAGGCCGTCGACGCTGAGTGAGCGCCGATTCCAAGAAATGGATTGATTAGGGCGGGTCTGTTCTCCTTATCTCGGTTTGTTACGTTGAATCGAAGCTCTTGTCCGTTCCATGGCCACAGTTCTCCGCTCCCCCTTTCAATCCCCCCCTTCATCCAGTCCAGTTTTCATCAAACAAACGGTTTCACCCTGGACACAACCTTCCGTT